GGCTGGGCCTGGGCTGGGCCTGGGTCTGGGCCTGGGCTGGGCCTGGGGCTGGCGCTGGGGTGGCCTGACTGGCTGGGCAGGCATGAACAGAAACTATCTTTTCTATTTTTATTTAGTATTGCCATGGCACTGATCCGCGTTTCCTTTTTATCGACGCGCCTTACCACAGTCGGACACATTTGGCGTGATGTTGGCTTCCATACGAGCGTGGCGCTGTTCCTGTGCGAGTCGAGTACCCAGCCTCTCCCACCCCCACTCCCCTGGCAGCCACTGCCGCCGAGTGGTCGCACAGAGAGTCGCGCAGTGCCGGCCTTTAGCCAAGGTCAGCTCTCTGGACCGGAATCTGTGGCGCCTGGCGAGGCGAACACACTCGCCCGGGGGCTGCCAGGGGCTGCCGGGGGGACGCCCGATGAGAAAAAAGGCAGCGTCTGCACTCCGAAACGCTGGATTGCTGAAGCAAACTTTCACTGGCTGTGTCTTATTTTCTTCATATTATTGGATTAGTGTTATGGTGCCTTAGTCGGTTGGAACAGTTCGAAGTGGCCTCGCATCGTGCCGCGCCTTCCGCGCCTCCCACCTTCGCCTTGTCGTAGTAACTCGAGCACCCTCTTTGCCCCGCCCTTGCCCGTCACATGTTCCCATTTCGCGCAGGCACTCTGCCCGCATTACTTTCAGGGACTCTCCAAATCTAATCCACATCACACACACAAGACACGCGCAGACCAGGCTGCATGGGTATGCCCACCTCTCAGTTGACCCACCCAATTGACATAATGAAAACGTCAACTGCGTGTTGGGAAGCCAATCCGAAAGCGGCCGCGCAAACCAGACACCCTCCCGCTGCTCCGCCCAGCAACGCCGCACAACAAGCTCATATCAGTTTTTATTGCGCGGAACCGGGAGAACCCCTGGGGCGCAAAGAAGCTTCCCCCATTTGTCGGCATCGACTTACAAACAAAACCTATAAAACAGAAAAAAGGTGCAAAAACTGGGAAATACATTCAAAATCCTCTGCGCATAAAAAAGAAGCAGTTGGACCGTGAAATTGCGAGCGTGCGAAGCCCTGCGCGGTGCGCGGGCAGGTAGCAGGTGTGGCATTGATGGACGTCTGATAGCCAAGCCATGTTCCTCTGACGCCTTTCCCAGCCTCCAATAGTCCGACAAAGAGCGGCGACCGAGGTGACAACTTCTGCCCCCATTTTTCATACCCGACTTCCCTTTCTCCGGGGCTTCCCGCTGCCTGGGGCGCCCCTGGTGGGCAGCAGGGACACCCCTCCCCCTCCTCACAACCTTGTGGAACCAAACCCCAAGCATAGATCAGGGCGTCAGTCTTAACTGTTTCTAATAACTCGTAAAATTTTGTTACGGGATGCCGGCAAGTGAAAAGCAACGAGCCACCTTTCGCATGCTGGTCATCCAGGTCATGGTGGCGCAGAATGACCGCTGGTTGTTCTCGACAGAAAATTCATTTATTGGCTTCATGGAAACATGTAGAGAAGAGCAGGGTGGTCACCTATCCGGGGCAAGCAGCTTGGTTGCGCAATCTTCAGCGACATCGTGCCGCGCGGAAATACCCATCGTGTCCCGGGCGGAGCGCGGCGTGTCGACGCCAGCCGCGCAGGGGGTATCGCCGGGATGTCGCCGTAGCCCCCCGCCAGAGGGCGTGGGCGAAGCCGACGGGCGTTGGGGTGGCTCAAGGGCGCGCAGCGCGGAGCCCAGCCAACCCCTCCCTTGGAGCAGAGCGGCAGAGCGGCAGAGACCCTCCTGCCCCACTGACACACTCAGCCCATCGCATCCCCGCCGCACTGCGCCCCCGGCACCCCTTCCCCGAAAAGAAACCAACTGAACGGAACTGCTGTGCTCGTGGCTCCGCGCTCTGCCTTTCTCTTTCTCGTCTCTCGCTCCGTCTCTCTCCGCTGCAGACGCTCCAGACTTCGGACCACCCGGCCCCTCCCCGCCCCGCCCCACCCGAATCGGCCGCTCGCGAGCGGCAAGCGCCGCCCAGTCTCTAACTGCTTTCCGGGATATGGTTCCGGTTTCCTCGGCAGATCAGTCATTTCCGGAGGCGCTACGCACGGACCTACAGCGCTATCCCTGGCACGTTCAGTTCGCGCGCAGGGCGGCAGGACGGCAGACGAGCCGATTGGCTGGAAAACGAGGTTGTGTCGCGCAATGCGGAAGGCGGGGTACACACTGCAAACACGGTGGGTGGGGTGGTGGTGCGCCCCAGACGGCTGGGGTAAGCGAGGGGGCACTTGGTAGTGGACCCTCCACAAACAAAAGTGCCACATGCTTAATGGAGCGTCCAAATATGACAATTCTAAACGTTTTTAGGATAGCGACGTGTCGCTCAGCCTCACTCCCCACAGCAACAAACGCGATTTCTTAGCACGAACATCCCAGATGCGTGTCATTTTTTTAAAACGAGTCGTGCGGTGCACCAGGCCCCCGTAATAACGGCACCAAAAGCAAAATAAACATTAAGGCCATGATCCACGGCGCTGCGCGGCGCGGTGCGGCGCCGAGTTTGCCTTGGCGTTAACGGTCGTTGCGGCGGGAAAGGTGTCAGGTGCAGCCAACGACGGCTCAGCCAACCCGGCTTCAGAACCGTCAGGTCGTCAAGGCTGTCACCACCGGCTGAGAGCAGCACGGCACAGCGTCTTGGCTCCAAAATGACAAAATACGGCCACAGAATTTCACGTGCGGTCCTCTTGTTTGATTTGTCGGGATTTGCCGGACACCTCCTGTCTCCTTGCTCGTCCTGTCCAGTCGAACTCCTGTTGCCTCTGGTTGGTGGCGGCTTGCCACTCCCTGCCGTCCTTGCAACACGATGAGGGTTCCGTAATGCGCCAGTTAGCGCCGCCAAGCCGACTCGTCTGCTCGTTGCAGCGGCGCCTAATCCCACGCCATATTTTCCGCACTAATGAATGACGAAATGGGACGCATTACGCGTGCCTCTGCTTTCCCCTTTTCCTCGGAAATCTTCTCTTTGCCCGATTAGTTCGTTTCCTCTTTTCCTTTCAAGCGCCGTTGCAATTCGAAATACTTGGGGTAAATGGCTAGGCACTTAAGAATTTTGGCCTTTCGAGGAATTAGGAAATCCCTTTTCTTCCGAGTCTCGTTCATTTTTCTTCATTCCGATTTCATAAACCCTAATTGGCCATGCGCACGGGTTGGGCACGGATAGAAATGTCCACTTCACAAGAGTCCGGCGGGAATCTCCGTTCCCAGTAAATAAAACAGTTCCAGGGTCCCGCAGCTTATTGGGAGCGCTTCGGCCTTTTTAGCGGGAAGAACCGATCTAAAGTGACCCACGGGAATGGCTATCAGGCTGCCAGCTCCCTTCCCTTGAGGGAGGTGCGCGCCAAAGTAGTGGCCCGGCCCGTGAGTGAGAAAAGTAAGAGAGAGCGCATTTGTAGGTCCAGCAGTGTGTGTGGGTTCAGACAAGGGTGCCCATGCTTAGCTACACTCTCCACTATCCCGCTCTCATTTTTTAACGATTCCCAGCATGCTGACACTAGAGTGCCCGAAGGCAGTGCCCGAAGGCAGTACAGTAGGTTCTTTCCACACAGTGTCCTTGGCATGATGGCATCGGCTGTTCCGAGAGCTGGCCCGTCCCGGCCTGAGTGGTCGGGGTCCTCGGAGCCTCGCCCGGGGCGATGTGGCATTCATGTGCTGCGCTATCCCGCGCACTCAATACGAGAGCGCCACCCGCGTTGGCCCGGCTAGCTGCCACGGCACTCACTGAGACAAAAACAATCCCAACTTTGGTCATCACCTGAACTGTCGGCCGACCGGGCGGGGCGGGGTGGAGTGCGCCCCGAGGGGAGACCCCATCAGCTCCTCCAGCCCTTGCAGCCCTTGCAACCTGCGGAAGGGTAAACATGGGAGGCGCTGGTCCCGTTGGGCTGCCGGCCGGGCTAACTGTCACAGAACTCCCGGGATATGCTGGGAACCTCAGCGTTAGCGAGCAGTAGGCACCTCGCATACTCTGTTACTCCACAGTGATTCCCGAGTCAGCTCGTGGGCCGAAGCAAAAGGGAGTGGAACACAAAGGACTGCTTGGCCTTGGCCGAGCCTCGCCAGCCTGATTGGGGCCGAGGGTCGCCATGCTGGAAATTGAAAGAGCGCCACAGAGGCCAGCCGGGCAGCCACGCAGCCTGCCCCCACATACTTCACGAGTTGGCATGCCCACAAGGCCGCGGCGCACCAGCCCCGCCACAACCCACCCTGCAACAACCCGCCCCGCCACTACCCACCCCGCCTGTCTCGTGGCCATTCGTATCTATCCAAAGGGATACTGCACGCCGCAAAAGAAGCAGTGCATGGAAGCCCAAAGTGCATGTGACACTGTGGTGTGCCATGATCCACGGAGCACCGCAAAGAGTAACCCGCTCTGGCAACAACCGCTTTGGCCCTTTTTCCACCGCTTCCTTGACGCCGTGCAAAACTCGGGTCTCCCGGAGAAGGAAATTGTTTCCACTTACCGACTGCTCGGCCGCTAGCCTATAATCACTTTCCTTGTCGCGAGCTGACATCAGTGCGACACGTCCGGCCGCATGACGAACGACTTCTGGCTCCTCAGCTGGAGCCCCGCAACGTTCACAGAGAAAGAATAAATAATGGGAAAACGTCAATGGAGCTGGGACGCGGCAGCTCAAAGCTTGCGATAACAATATCCAATTCCAGAGGGACGCTGTGTCGAGTTGATGATGTTGCTCTCTCTCTTCAGGTGGTGATTGACAGCCCCGGCTGCGAGGTGTTACGGACTGCAGGATATTAACTCGGATATAAAGGACATAAACCAATGAACGCTTTATTCTCTTTTGTTCCTTGATGGAATGGAAACACCATTAAAACTGTTTGCATTCCACTGCTGCATGTTGAAATAGACTTTACTCTGAATCCTCGTATTTGTCGTTTTGTTCATATTTTGCAAAAAAAAATTATAACAATCTGAAAACGTTTTGAGTCAACTAACGTCGTATTTGGTGTTTCAGGCGCGCAACAAACCGGCCGATGGAGTTGGACATGTCAATCAGAAAGGGCAGAACCGGGAAAAGACGCCCGTCAGAACGCCACACAGTTCGCACGACCTGCACAAACAATGCGTACGAGTAACAATCCGGTTATTTTAGATCAACCGGTAGAAAGTAGAAGTAGAAACGGAACGGCAGCAGCGCAAAATTAGTTTTCAGTCAAGTTTAGTGTAGCGCAATAAAAGTATTACTACGGGCAAGAAATATTAATTCCACACCGTGGTCATTTAACACCCAAGTCACGTTGCCAGAACGACGCGTTTAACTTAGAGTCGTAGAGTCCTAAAACTGTTCTTGGACACTAGTTTAAATCCTCCAGCCATGGCTCGTAGAGCACCTCGCGCAGAACGCCCGTAAAACGCCCTGTGAGGAGCACGTCAAACATTCCGCTCGAAGTGCACAAAACTTGGTCGGGGCACGTAAAGTTGGCTGTTCTGTGTAGCAAGAGCGAGGTGCTGCACGCAGAGGGCGTTTCGTTTCGGCAGGTTGGCACGCGGAGCGAGTTTCATTTTTCGCGGAGTGCGGCAAAGCGTTATTTAAGACGCCGAAGTTCGCTCAGCCAGAAACGCGCGGCGTAAACAATTTTCGAAACCGACCAATTTTCTGGTATTGGCTTCCGCCACTGACGCGTCTGTTCGGGGCCTCCAATACTCTAGTTAATGCATGACACAACCGTTCGCTTTTATTTGCCATTACAAAGCATATCTGCATTTAAAAAAGTAAATACTGGCTCGTTAACTTTTGCCCTGAGTTTGCATGACAGGTTACAGGCTTTAACGGCCAACCCATTTTTCGAGTAGCACCACTTTATTAGTCGTTTCATTTCCCTCTCGTCATAGTTTGCGGAGAAACAATCGTTGATGGCCACAACCGTGAGGTGCATTCATAAAGCAAGCCGAAGGCGGTAAACGTACAAAGGCAGCTTGGTTCAATGGAGGGCAGCCGCCTACAGTTGTGAGGCCGCACAGGGTGGGGTGCAGTGATAGCAGCGGCTTATCGGCAGAAAGAAAGCCAGGCAGTGAAAGCCGTTTCTCTGTGCGGAGGGGTCGCCAGCCAGCAAGGGGTGGGTAAACAACGCCCGAACCTGACTCAACCCCGGTCGGCACTCCCCACCGTCCCTTCTCCCTCAAATTATCGCCTTTTGGAACACTGCCCTGCGCGGTCTGCTGGCACTGGGCTTGCTTGCATTTCGTGTTTTACTCTTTTCTTTCTGCAGGTAATTGAAGTGCAGCTGCGGGGACCTCCTCACGTCACCATGTCGTTTGGTGCGGTCCCTCGCGCTGCCCTTAGACGGTCCCTTGCGCGGCCTTTTCACGGCCCTTTATGCGGCGCCGCGTCCCTATGGCACCCTCTCGCGGTGGTAACGACGTCACGTGATGAAGGGCTGAAAAGAAAAAAACACCTGCAAGCCGAGGAGTGGGCAGGCCAAGGCCGCCCCGCCAAAAAGCAGAGTCTTTCTCATTGGCACGCGTTCATTTTGCTCCCCGTTTTGCACCCAGCCTCCATCTCCGCAACTTTGATCACTTTGTTTTGGCGTCGTCGGCGTGCGGGCGCCTGCGCACGTCGTCTCGCTGTGGCGCAGCGCACGCTCTAACGAGAAGTTGCCCCGCTTTCATCAAGCGCCGTCTGCCGGCTCTGTCTCTACCGCTGTCTCTGTCTGTTGCAGGTGAGTATTTGCCTGCGTCGGTCCGGCAAGCGCCACACCGGAAGTCCTGCTGCCGAGTTCCACGTTCCGCGGGTGGCGTGGCTCGGCGGGAGCCCCTGCAAGGCGGGGAGTCCCTGCCCGGCCCGCCCCGTCCAGGTTTGCCTGGGTTTACCCCTGACGAATCCAACTTGCGCATAGCGCACCCACAGTGAGCAGGATAGTACCAAGACGCCGGACTGTTGATTTTGGGAGGGAGCACGACTGGTCCGTCAATGCAGAGTATAATACCAATTACATAACCTGCTTTCTCCCCTACTTTGGTAATTTCATAAAAAACGTGCCATAGCGCTATGGCAGCGACAGCTCTCAGCGTGGATGAATGAGGCAGATACAGAGAGAGAGAGAGAGAGAGAGAGAGAGAGAGAGAGAGAGAGAGAGAGGAGTGAGGTGGCGTCGGATGAGTGAAGAGGTTATTTTCCGGGGCGCCAAAAGAAAGCAAAGGCGGCTCGGGGGGTTCCGGCAGCATTTCCGCCCAACAGACTCCAGGACTTGGGGTCGGGTTGCTACAGGCCTTTGCTCCGCCAGGACTCCGAGCGCCTCCCAGCGCCTTCCAGGCAACACTACGCAATCTTCGCCAAGCTCGGCACTCCTCTGCCCTTAACGACGCAGAGAGAGTTTTTGGAATCCTCAGAAACGGGATTTTCAGACCAGCCCGCCTTAACGGCGCCTGGTCACAAACTACACTTATGCTGTCCGAAGCAACAACATCCAGCAGCGCCGTCGTCAACAACAACAAGCAGCGGAGCAGTTTCACGACGTTCCGAAGGACAAGCCGCGCTCGCTGGATGCGGCCCGTACAGTGGAGCAGGAAAGGGACGCACCCTGATAGATTTTCGGATAAGAGATAAAGAAGACAGGCAAACAAAAATAAAGGAGAGAATAAAAGGAGATGTTGCGGCGTGCGCGGATCAGGCGAGGGGTGGATGAGGGCCGATTGGAGATAAAGCAAGGACAACAAGAACATCAAATCAAGAGGAAGAAGAAGCAGGTAGAAGACGACAAGGAAGTGGAAAAGACAGCGAACTAGGCTGACCACGCTGGGCAGAGGTGTCCACCAGGTTTGTCAACGACTAGCGACGACTGGTATTACGGGCACGAGGCTGCTAGAGGAGGAGGATGATGGGGACGATGATTATGATGGTGGTAGCCGGGGGCAAAACCTCCATTTTTTTGTGTATAATTGATAAGAGGACGCGCGCCGTGCGGTGGTGGTGGGGGTGGGGGGGGGCACGTGAACGTGAGGGACCACGCCCCCTCCCTTCTCCAGCGCCGCGCGGCTTGGGGCTGGGCCGCCGGCGGGGCGCGCTGCCGGCTGCCAGTTGGGTCCCGACGCGCGCACCGCCCGCTGCCCCGTCCGCGACCACCCCCGCGGGCCGGCTGGTCGGCATCGCTCCGCGGCGCGCCGCACGCCGAGAGCGGCGATAGCGCGGTGGACAGGGCCGACAGGCCGACACGGCACCCACTGCTCCAACTGTTGATTGTTGGCCCCATGCCGGGCCGGGCCGGGCCGGCTGCAGCTGTGATGTGAGTAGTGGATGGCGGGGCTCATGGCGAGTTCCGGGCCTAGGCTCACCGCCAGGTGGCCGTCCCCCCGCACGCGGCCGTCTTTGCATCCGACCAGATCGCCGCGGGCCGCGTGCTGGGTGCGGCACCCTGGAGGCGAGAATGCCGTGACATTGGTTGGAAGTGAAAGCAGGAAGGGGTCGTGAAGTACCACGCGAGAGCTGTAGGTCCAGGATGCGAAGCGAGGGTCGTCGCACGGAACTTTGTCCAAATGACTTCCGGTTCGTTAATCACTTTACCCAAGCGACAACGACGGCGTGTGTCGGGCCAAGCAAACGTCCGAACGGACGCTTGTTTATTTGTCCAGGCGTTGAGGCGCGTCCCTCTTCGACCGAGCGCTTTGGCGAGCGTGGACATCACCCAGCCGTGACACCAATCTCACTGTCCGTCGATCCAGCGTCAATCAACTGAAATGCCCCAAATGAACGAACGACCGAACGCCTTTCTGGCTCGGTCCTTAATGGTGTTGACTGGGCAGTGGAATTCCCTCACATGCAGGACAGCCGAGGGGCCGCTGCACAACTACGGTACACGGCGCGAGCTCTGGTACTCTGGTAGTGACGGGGACAGCCCACCAGGCTGCCACATGTTTTTAGACAAAACAATTCAGTTTAATTATGTTGAACGGCGGGACTTCCTTGGTTAATTCTTCTTGGTCAACCAAACTACAGTTCATCCGATTAGACAATTTCCCTCGACTGGGTCCGACGCTAGCCTCTTCGCGCGCGACTTTCCCGTCTTCCCCTGATTGAATCTGCGGGGTGTGCCACCTCCCCGTGAATCCATTCCGGGAATCTGGGGCGCCAACGACGCGGCGACACGCACGCCCCTAACGGCCGGCCGAGGCACGGCCCAGGCCTGACCGAGCTCGGACATTGTTTGATATGGAAATGGCGAGGCCGCTGTCTCAGGTAATGGGAAGCGTTATTACACCATTAGGCAGGCCGAGCCGCACTGCTGTACACACACTGTGCCTGGAATAACTTAATCAATCGCCGCAAGCCCCCTCCCCTGCGCCCCACACGCAGCAACGTGCGCGAGAACACCGTCAGCAAAGTTGAACTGGTTTGACTATACCTTAGTCGATACCGGCTTCGAAAGGTGGACATAATTATGACTGGAAGTTTAAGTCGTTGCGTCTGCCCTCTTATTTTTTTTACCGTGATGCCTCTGTGAGGTGGCCGGCGGTTGTAGCGGGGTCACCGTCGTAGGTCGGTGGGGCGACGTGTGCTGTTTGCGCCGACACTGAATAATGGTAGCGACCTTTAATGGCTCGCGCGTGTCCTTTTTAATCGACTGCCCGTCTGTCCGTCTGTCCACCCGGCCGCACGGAGTCCAGAGGCCCTTGTTGTGTCGCTTGCAAGCGAGACGGCCTGCTGCGTGTGTTCCCCCGATTGTTTTTAAAAGCCGTTTGTTTTTGTTTATGCTTTTCGATGAGTGCTGTTGAACGGAAAGGACAAACCGCTCTTGGCGAACGGAGAGGGTGGGAGGTGGTGGAATGGGGGATTAAAATTTAAAACCGAATGAATCGTGAATGGAAGCGCCGCAAGGGACTCCTCAACACGTTTAGCCCCGCCGGGCGCTGGGCTCGCTTGCCACCATCTCTCGACGCACTGCAAAGACAGTTCGGCCGAAGTGACTAGGTCTTTTATGTCTTTAGTTGTGCCAACTTCTCGGTCAATCGATATTACGCCAAAAAATAATAAATTGGCTGAGTTACCTTCAGTTCGCTAACTTTTGTGAGTGTTGACGCCGAGAAAAGTCTTGGCCTGAAAAGGCAGGCTGCCCGGCAGCCGCCACGGCG